CCAATTGGTTAGCTGTCAGATTCTAGAGCTCCCTATTGGTGGCTCTTAGGGAATCCAAAAATGCAGAGTCCATTAATAAAATACAGTGTTCATTCATAAATAAATCTCCATTTCTACATATTGGGTGTGTATTTCAGTGATTGAACATACAGGTTTATGACCATGCTGTAGTGTAGTGCTTATGTGATTGTGAATAAAAGGTGGCTGGGCTCATCGTCCCGGGGTTGGGGGGCGGGGAAGGTGACAAAACTGATTTCCAATACGTGCCCGCCCTTATTGGAACATAACAAGTCCTTGAAACTGTACTCTGAATAGTGACACCAGGGACCTAGAAGGTGCACAGCTTGTCAGTCCAACCCCTGCACAGTCTCACCAGGGCTGACCTTAAGGCAATTGGAGCAATTTGGCCAAATTGGGGCCTGTGGGCTGCTCCCAAGGGGGCCCCCGCACCAGGGCAATCTAGATGGATTTTATTTATATCTATAGTGCTACCTCGGGTTAAGTATTTAATTCGTTCTGGAGGTCTGTTCTTAACCTGAAACTGTTCTTAACCTGAAGCACCACTTTAGCTAATGGGGCCTACTGCTGCTGCCACGCTGCCACCGCGTGATTTCTGTTCTCATCCTGAAGCAAAGTTCTTAACCCGAGGTACTATTTCTGGGTTAGCGGAGTCTGTAACCTGAAGCGTATGTAACCCGAGGTACCACTGTACTGCACACAGAGCACTTGGTCTAAGCAGGAGCTGCCTCAGTCGCTTCAACAGGAATGCTCTGCTATCACAATTGTACGCCTGCAAAGTATTTCCCCATACGGAAGTGAGATGAACGAGGAACTATCCTTCCTGTTTGCATAGAGCTTCATGTGAATTTCGGAGCCTTGCCCTGTAGAGTGCTGGATCCATGCCACTACTTCCCGATGTACACAGACAGAGCAATCATGTTTTCATGGTAGTATAATCTTGTTGTTGTTTTTTCCACCATGGTATTTATTTCATGGCTTATGTTCTTCTACAAGTAGGTCACAAGCTATTTTGGTTGGAATGTGTAGATTATAATTAGTCCTACAAACGGAGTGCTGGTTCTGCAAACCACCAGGCACGTTTCTGGAGACTATGGCCATGCCATTACAGATTTGTAACATTTCCCCTTGGATGGGAACTCTCCATTGTGCAAGGGCTGGAACTACCGTATTTTTTGCCCTATAGGACGCACCGTCCCATAAGGCACACCTAGTTTTTTGGGGGGGAAATAAAGGGGAAAAATTTATTTCCCCCCCAGGCGCGGGGCTGGGGCAGGGGAAGCCCGAGCTTCCCCTGACCCCAGCCCCCAGAACAGGCAACTCTCCGCAAGCCGTGGGAGCCCAGCGCAGGGCTCCTGCGCCTTGCCGAGAGCTGTGCGAAGTCTGGGCGCGCTGAGCTCAGCGTGCCCAGCCTTTGGAATGCAGGCAACTCTCCGCAGCCTTCGGCATGCAGGCAACTCTCCGCAAGCCGTGGGAGCCCGGCGCGGGCTCCCACAGCTTACGGAGATCTGCGCAAAGCCTGGAGCTTCAGCGAAAGCCTGCATTCTCCCCATAGGACGCACACACATTTCCCCTTCATTTTTGGAGGGGAAAAAGTGCGTCCTATGGGGCAAAAAATACGGTACATGTTACAGGGCAGACATGGGATCCCCAATCTGTGTTTGACTTGTAATGCTGTTGCTGGAGGAAGGATAACTAACACAGCGAAGAATGAGAAGATTGGGTCATTGTGCTTAACTCTTCTCCTGAGATATGAGGCAAATTGTACAGCCATCGTAATACTCCATTTGTGTGAGAATATAGCCTGCTTCACCCTTTCAGTGTTTTACTTTGTTGCCAACCCTCCAGACCCTGGAAAAAAATCCTGTGGACACGTATGTATGTATGCAAGGGAGGGAGAAAGAGGGGAGGCATATGACTGCATGCTTTCTCGAAATTCAGAATGTGTCTGCTGGCCTGAAAAGGTTGGCAAAATCCTTGCAGCAGCACAACAGAAGTTGCTGCATCAACAAAGCCAACATCATATCTCTCTCTATGCTTCTTCTGACCCCTAGAACGCCCTGCAACAAAACTTGAACTTGCAATAATATCAATTTTGTACATAAATACAAGCTTTCATCCTATTTAAGAACTCCTCCATCTGGTAGGGTTTTGTTTTTGTTTTTTTAAGTATTATGAAATCAAACATTCTCTAAATTGTGTTTTTCTGGAGTCGTTCAGAACAGTAGATTATGATCTCACTTAATCGTTTTTCTTTTCTTTTCACAGGGCATAAAATACCATATAATTAGCAGCCTTCTCTAAAGCCGCATGCAGAACACAAATTCAACGTTATGTGATAACACGCCCCTTTATTCCTTACAGGTGTGGGAAAGCCATCAACATATGCATATCGAGGTGATGGAGAAAGGTATGGAAGTTTATGTGTTGGAGCAAACCACCAATAATTTCCCTATGAACTGAGAGGGAATTCCCTTACCCAAAACTCCTCTTTCAAGAGATGCTGTTTTCCAAATATAGATTCTTTACATCTCAGGAGCTGCAGGCTGAACAATCAACCTTGGTGGCGTGCTCAGGGCATATTGCCAAACAGAAATTGACCTGAGAGTTGCACTGAAGCTCCCGATTCTAATTTGCTCATCTGCCGCTGTATACAACAAAGGGGGTGGACTGATTTGTCAAATAGCAAACCAGCATCTGGCAGAATATGGGGGGACATGGGAGCATTGTGGATGAAATCCCTGGTTTTCAGCACTGAGTGGTAGGGAAAGCACAGTAGAAGTGAATAATAATAATAATAATAATAATAATAATAATAATTTATTATTTATACCCCGCCCATCTGGCTGAGTTTCCCCAGCTACTCTGGGCGGCTTCCAATCAAATGTTAAAAACAGTACAGCGTTAAATATTAAAAACTTCCCTGAACAGGGCTGCCTTCAGATGTCTTTTAAAAATAGGATAGCTGCTTATTTCCTTCACATCTGATGGGAGGGCGTTCCACAGGACGGGCGCCACTACCTAGAAGGCCCTCTGTCTGGTTCCCTGTAACATCACTTCTCGCAATGAGGGAACCGCCAGAAGGCCCTCGGCGCTGGATCTCAGTGTCCGGGCTTAACGATGGGGGTGGAGACGCTCCTTCAGATATACAGGACCGAGGTCAAAGGCGACTATAGGGTTGTGGCACTCATCTCGCTTTTAGGCCGAGGGAGCTGGCGTTTGTCCACAGACAGCTTTCCGGGTCATATGGCCAGCATGACTAAACCACTCCTGGCACATCAGAACACCGTGATAGAAACCAGAGTGCACGGAAACGCTGTTTAGCTTCCCGCCGCAGCGGTACCTATTTATCTACTTGCACTGGTGTGCTTTCAAACTGCTAGGTTGGCAGGAGCAGGGACAGAGCAACGGGAGCTCACCCCATCGCGGGGATTAGAACCGCTGACCTTCTGATCAGCAAGCCCAAGAAGCTCAGCATTTTTGCAGCTGTTGCCTATACTGTTCAAAACACAAGACTGGAGTCACAGCAAACGGAGGGGAAAGCTATCCTTCTCCCTCAAAACAATCTTGAGGAACCTGCCTTCCTCACTCGCTCTTTGCGTTCGGGCAAAAGTTTATTTTGGCATTTTCTGCTTGATAAGAAGCCAACATGTAATACTTTAATTTCATGTGGATGGGCTTTGAAATTTATCCTGGGCTTTGAAATTTATCCTGCTTGAGAGGAAACAAAACTGCATTAGTAGACAACCGCATGATGCTACCACTGCTAGAGGTTTGCTTGTCCTATTGTGGATAAACTGGACATCGTGGTGGTCCAATCCAATGCATGCCATGCCAAATTCCTTTTCAAACAGGGAAGGAGTGATTGAAAACTTAGTAAGGGTGGGTTGCAAAAGGGCACTAAGCAATATCTGAACATTTGGACAATGTGTTTTATGTGTCTTTTATCTTGTTTGCTTGACGCTAGTCACTGACTGTAGTGATAAAGATTTGATTTGGTTCTATACTCCCGCCTCCTGAAAACAGTGGATTTTCTTCCAGCTGGGAAGGGGCAGTTTCAGAGTGTAGGCAATTCATCATCGCCTTGTTGACCACCCACTACTGAACTATACTTCACCCCACCTCATTCCTGCTTTTATAGGGCTTCAGCAACAACTTGATGCATAGACATGAGTCTCTGCATATCTAGTTTGGACCTTAATGACATAGCTAAAACACACACACACACGGAGGATGTACAGAAAATATTTCATGAGGATCTGCGAGGCTCAAAATGGAAGGGAAACACGAGCCCTTGTGACCTTCACTTCAACTAGCCAAGTTCCTCTGAGCAGCCGGCTATGAACAGGGAGTTCTGTTTGAGGTCATGTTTTCCTAGAGGCTGTCGTGTTCAAATATTTGATTGCTTACTTCTGCAAAAATAGATTTAAATTAGTGCTGCAAAAAATATTTTAAAAACCATCTGTTGAAAGAGTGCAGCTTTCAATCTGTAGCTGAAGTGATCCATCAGGGTTATAAGTAATATACTGCTTCACTCCAGAAATATTCATACTGGGTGAAAGGGTAGGATATCCTGTCAGTCAAGAACACTTCAAACACACATAGTTTAGGTTTATCCTATTTAAAGAGCTTTTGGGAGTGGTGGATTCTTCCTATGGTAAGGGAAGAAAGCTTGCTCCTGATTGCTTCTGACCTACTTTGTTTTGATGGTTCAGGCAAAGAAATGATCCTCCCATAGTTTCTCCATCAGTACTGTATGTCTAATCACCAGTTGTGGACCAAATACGCTGAGTGAAGTGAACCCAGAAAGAAAAGCAACTCCCCTCCAACTAATGATAACAAACGGGTGGTGGTAGATGTGATTCAGGAATAGTTAGGAACTTTGTTATGGTCAGTCCCAAATCTAGTAGTTGGATTGTGTAGAGTTGTACTGAAGGCACAGAGGTGGTGAAGCAAAAGACCAAAACAAAAACGAAGCAGTAAGAGTTGGGCTCTTCTGTTTATTTGAAACATCCACATGTGAGCCCTTAGTTTGACAGCTCCCGTGCGTGGTTTCCCCCAAAGTTTTCTTAAGCTCAGCATCCGAATACAGAGAAAGAACCACTGTTGCACCATTGGAAGTCAGAAATCCTTCCTGATCTATGAGTAGATCCGGATCCAGCCTCTGTCTCCCCCGGTGTAGAAGAAAGACTGATCATGGAGTTGTATCTTTTGTTATTATTTTTGGTACCTGCCACATCAAGCGAGTATTGTGCAAACTGGATCTGTTCCTTAAAAAGATAAAAATAAAAGCAAAACCCACGTTCCAAATAAATGTGTTTGGAATTGTACTCAAGTTGCTAACAACTCAGAAGGACATTTTGAATACCGCTGGGTCGCTGCTTCATTTATCACTAGTATGACCCTTTCTGAGGAAGAAAGCAGTGGGAATGTGTTGCTCGGAAAATCTGAGACCATTTGAGATAAGGAAAGTATTCTGAAAATGCAGGATTTATTGCAAAGTAAATCTTGTGAATCTTTTTAATCTACCTCAAACTCTAGTGGGAATTATACACAGATACCTTTGTATACCAACATGGGAATTAATTGCCCTAATTTTAGTTTTGCTGCATAGCTTCTTTTTTAAAAAATAATTCACTTCAGAATTCCTCCTTTTGTTTTTGCAGGAAAGTAGCATCTGAAGATGACAGGTTTATTGCACAACTGCTGCTGTTGAGCTTTCTATGGCCCAACAGCATTCTAGGTAATGTTTACAATCACTATCTACCTTCTGTTTCCAACAGCAAAAACACAGTTTTACCTAGGGGAGATTCTTTTATACTTTGTTCTGCCACTCTCCATTGTTCTTCACTTGCTGGAACACTTTCCCACTGAGTTGTGTTCTTCTAGAGTTAAGCCGTCTGTGTATTCCATTTGCTCCATTCCTTACTAATTCATTCTGGCCATAAAATGGAAATGTCATGTTCATGTATAAACTTGTAGCTGTTTTGCATCAAGAGCACATGAGTTCAGACTCTAGACAGAAGGCTGCAAATATTGGGGTATAAAGTTACTTTTACAAGGAGTCATGCAACCAGCGTGCCAGCTAATCAGCTATAAATGGCAATGCCTGTTTCTCTAGTTCCATTTGCGCAGTTTCAGTATTTTTGTTTTAAGGGTGCCACCACCAGGAGCTTAGAGAAACAGAAACTTTAAAGACATATAAAAGCAACCCAGCATGACAGAAATTAAGGCACATTAATACAGTGCTGTAAGATTACGTTGGGTTTGTGTGGAGTGCCAGGGCAAAATGCTGCTGTGAAAATGGGAATGTTAACAGTGTGTCTGTGCTTTGCTTTTAGAGGGGCAACTCATCTCTTGGGCTGAAAATGTTGCAGGTTACCTGTCAGTGTCAACTCAGTCTCCGACACAAATTGGAATTCTCCTGGTGCATAAACTGATGTCTCTTGTGACACATCCTTAAGGACTGTGGAGGTGGGTGGTATGGCTGGTGATTAGAAGGAGTCATGAGAGTAACATTAAAAAATGGAGAAGTCAGAACAAAATGACTAAGGAAGATAACAAGCATGATACAATTTAAAAATTACTTTAACAATTCAGACAACACAACACCACTTACAAAATGTATTTTTTAAAAATTTTTTAAAGGAAAAAACAAATTCTGGAAAATTTCAGGTCTCAAAAGACCACAAGGATGAGCTGCCCTTTCAATTAATACTTCGTGGAGGAGGAAAAAGATTGCAGGAAGGTGTGATTAACAGAGGAAGCATAAGGTGAAGAAAAAACTTTGTTTTGCTGAGAATAAGAACACCATATGACCTTCAGGGCAAAATACCACCCAGGGAGCTGGGAGCCAAAAATTATTAACATTAGTAAAACCTAAGTTGCACAATCAATTGTGAAACGATTATTTTTTTTTAAGAAGACAGTCAAAGTCACTTACATCAGTTTCAAATTACAAGGTGGTTAGTGAATTGAATGACTTAATAAGCTGATTTTATGCAACCAAATGAAAAATTCCAGCAAGCTCCATCCCTATTTTCTGATGTGGTTATTCCAGTTCCCGAGAGTTCATTACAGCTCTACCAGCCACTAGAAACTGACATCCTAGCAGTTACTAAAAATTACAGCAGATGCTCATTATGCATTAGTTTAGATTAGAACTTACAAAAATAGAACCTAACAATGGCAGCAAAGGAGATTTAGGGACCTGCTGATAGGTAACTTTACATACATGCTCAAAAGCAGAGTCACAAAATGTAGCTACAAAGGGACACTGCCACCACATGTATCAGACAGTGCTTTTCCAAACATGGGGTGCATTTAAACCACCAGAAGTTTGTTTGTTTGTTTGTTTGTTACTGTGTGCAAAACTAAAGTCATGTGTCTCTGCTCTAAGCACAATGATTTGGAAATAGATGTAACTTCCTTTAAGCAAATGTAATTAGGATTTTCACCTTAATTAGTCCATTTGTTCTTACTGGAAGATGCTAACCTTTCCTACCATAGCTAACCAATGGTTACCAAATGTTAGGCATACAACTTTGGATATGAACCCTCTCCCTAGGTTGGGATGTGTAGCTAAGCAGTTGTGCCCCAGCCCCTGTTGGTTGTCCTTCAAGTCATAGGCACACATATACCCAATAATGCGTAAATGCAGAAGCAAAAAACCGCACTAGCACTTGGTGGTCTCAGTAGGGCACAATAATGAAATTACATCAACCCCCTGCTCCCCTAGTGTCTCCTTAATGTAATTGCTTCCTGCTTCTCCCATGGGATGTTGTGATAATGAGATTTCAGAACAAGTGCTTCTCGCAGGGTCGCCATGAGATTTCAAAGATGGTAAAGAAACCTAAAATTGAAATGCTACCTACATGAGCACATATACTTTCCGTTAACTAGAACTTAGGCAAGTTTTACGCCATTGTACTTTTCACTCCTTACGTTTTGGATTGTTCTGCACATAGAACTGCAGAGTAGGAAGGGACCCCAAGGGTCATCCAGTCTAACCCCCTGCAATCTCAGCTAAAGCATCCATGACAGATGACCATCCAACCTCTGCTGAAAAAACTTCTAAGGAAGGAGCGTCCACAACCGCTTGACGGAGACCTTTCTCTTTTGAAGTAAAGGCAAAGGCAGCACTGAAGAACCATACAAAGTTTACATGTATCTAAATTGGGGTTTCCCAAACTTGGGTCTCCGGCTGTTTTGGGACTACAACTCCCATCATCCCTAGATAGCAGGACCTGTGGTCAAAGATGATGGGAATTGCAGTCCAAAAAAATACAGTGGGACCTCAGGTTAAGAACTTAATTCGTTCTGGAGATCCATTCTTAACCTGAAACTGTTCTTAACCTGAGGTACCACTTTAGCTAATGGGGCCTCCCGTGCTGCTGCTGCACGATTTCTGTTCTCATCCTGAAGCAAAGTTCTTAACCCGAGTATTTTTGGGTTAGCGGAGTCTGTAACCTGAAGCGCCTGTAACCCGAGGTACCACTGTAAATGAAGACCCAAGTTTGGGAAACTCTGATCTAAATGTTACACTTATGTGTGTACAACTTTGCATTGAAGGAAGCGAAGCAGAAAGAGAAACATTCCACTTTAATAGTGACCCTGACAGATGATCTGTTAATTCCAAACTGGTTTGCTGTTAGGGGCAAACAATATATGATGCTGAATGTAGGACTTGGTGTCATGCCTAGCTCTGACTGGGTGCCAGGCATGCAAGGATGAACTAGACGCCTTGCAAGAAAAGGACCTTGAAGAGCAGGCAGGGCCCACTGAGTTCCAGGTTCTCTGAATTGATACCTGAAGGCATGTCAGAGGAGGAGGTGGTGCCATCCCCCAATCCTTGAGAGTGCTGGTGCCAGAAGCTCGGGGTCCAGGCCGAAGAGTGATGAAAAGTATCTAGGGACCCCAGAGTCAGTACGCTACCTATGAGTAGGGGGTTTACAGGTGTATAAGCAATTATTGATACTCCTTCACTGCCAGCAGCTGTGGTTAGGCTGCAGTTGAGAAGGCCAGAGTATATATAAGGCCTCTTTCCCAAGTCTTCCTGTTATTGGAAGCATCCCAGGGATCTGGTTAGTTCCCGCTTGCTGTGTTGTACCTTGTGAGAGAAACCTTGGACTGTTTGTGGCCATAGCATTGGAATCATGATATGTCTTAAATGGACGCTTGGTTTGTTTGGACATGGTTTGTATGGTGAGAGGCAGGGCTTTTCTTCAGCCGGAACTCACTAGAACCCAGTTCTGGCACCTCTCAGGTGGGCGCCATTGCCATTATAAGAGAAGCAATGATTCTTCAACATCAATTTCGTTGGAATGGTCATGTTGTGTGGATGCCCGAATATCGTCTTCTAAAGCTGCTCTATTCCGAACTCAAAAATGGAAAGCGTAATGCTGGTGGTCAACAAAGGAGGTTTAAAGACACTCTCAAGGCAAATCTTTTAAAATGTAGTATAAACACAAAGAACTGGGAAAAACTGGCCTGCAAGTGCTCCAGTTGGAGAACAGCCTTTACCAAAGGTGCTGTGGGCTTTGAAGACGCTTGAACTCAGGATGAAACAGAGAAATGTGCTAAGAGGAAGGCACGCTTGGCAAACCCTCACCGTGATCAACTCTCGCCTGGAAACCAATGTCTCCATGGTGGAAGGACGTGGGAGTCCAGAATTTGCCTCCACAGTTACGGACTCGCTGTTAAGACCGTGTTCATGGAAGACAATCTTACTCAGCTTCAAGGGATTGCCAAAGAAGAAAATGGGAGGCACTCATGAAGAGTTTCGGCACCTTTTTCTAGAAAAATAACACATCCCCTGCAGGCCAAGGGGAGACCACCAGAGTGCGGCACTTTGGAGTCCTAGAGGGTTTGGCGGTAGGGAGAGAAATGCAATAGTGGGTGTGGGGTGCTTTTCCTCAGGAATGATATGCACCAAGAGCTTCCATTCTTTTATTTCTCTGGAGGCAGGTGGCAGCGGCCTTGTCTCCAGCCGCAGTGATATTATCATTACAGCTAAGGGCCAGGAGAGGAAGGCCCGGCCCGGCGGGTCAAGATGGGTGAGGCGCCCCTCTTCCTCCTCCTCCTCCCTCCCAAGCGTCGCCAGCCTCTGCGCCAAGCAGCGTAGAGCCGAGGCCCCTCTTCTTCTTCATTGCCGAGGCTGACTTCAGGGGTTTATATTTAGCCCATTGTGTCCAAAGGGAGACTGCAGCGCTCGCAGAACAGACCCGCCGCACGAGCCCAGGGAAGGGGGGAGAAGGCGGGCGCCTAGGTGACAGAGACGGACGAGCCAGGTGGCGCTGCTGCCGACTGCGCAGCGACGCGGGGAGGCGGCTGCAGGCGGGAGCCCCTCCAGGCTGCGGGCAGGGAGGCGCTGAAGGTGCCGGCGAGGCAGCGCCAAGGAGCAGCAGGCAGGCAGGCAGCGGGGAGGAAGGGAGCCGAGCCGAGCAGCCACCCACCGCGGCGGCGGCGGCAGCATCAGTAGCCGCCTGGGTCGGTGCCCTGGGAAAAGATGGTCGCTGCTCACACTTCCCATTCTTCCTCCTCCACCGAGTGGATCGCTTGCCTGGATAAAAGGTACCACCGGCGCCTTTGTGGGGTTTTTTGGGGGTGTGTGTGAGGGAATGGGGTGCACCCTCCTGACTGGGTGTCGTCCCCCTCTCCCCCTCTTATCCATTCGTTACAGTTGTGGCCTATATAGGAATACATTCAACCCACGAAGCAGCTGGGTGGGAATATCGAAATCCCTGCGCGGGAAGAGGGCGGGGTAGTGGGTTTGCAGGGGACCCCCGTGTTTGTAAGCGGGGGGGGGGAGCGCTTTGTACACACGGGTGTATTATCGTGTGTCTCTGGCGAGGTGAGAACAAGCCCCGAGGGGCCACGCGTTTTGCATAGGGGCCGCCTGGGAGATAATGCACGTGCCCGAGGAAAAGGAAACGAAAGGGTTGTTCCTCCCACCCCCAAGCACCCCATAGGAGCTTCTGGGTCCGCCTCGTGTTTTTCCCGGCTTCCCGCTGCTGCTGGTTCCTGTGAGGGCTCTTGCTGCAAGGCCTGTGCATTTAGGCATTGCTAGCAAGGGAGAAACGGAGAGATCAATAATGCATCTGTGCGTGAGCACCTACCTTGGAGATGGGTCACAAGACTTTGGGTGGGTGGGGTGGTTTCCCAGAAGGCATCTTAGTGTAAGATATGATCACTGTGTCCATCTATATTATTATTTATTTAGCATCTTCTGCAGCGTGACATATATATATATATACACACACACACACACACACACACACACACACACACACACAGTGGTACCTCAGGTTACAGACACTTCAGGTTACAGACTCTGCTAACCCAGAAATAATACCTCAGGTTAAGAACCTTGCTTCAGGATGAGAACAGAAATTGTGCAGCCACGGCAGCGGGAGGCCCCATTAGCTAAAGTGGTGCTTCAGGTTAAGAACGGACCTCCAGAACGAATTAAGTTCTTAACCCGAGGTACCAATGTCACACTGCAGAAGTTGCTCAATCTCTCTCTCTCTCTTTATCCGCTAACTTTTCCAGAATGATGTTTCAGTTGTGGGATGGTACTAGTGTATAAAAAAGAGGGGCATCGTGAGGACATAGGCCATTGCATTATGCCTGGTCAGATTGTCCAGGGATGTCTAATCTGACTGGCAGAGAGACTCTCCGGAATTTCAGGCAGATTGACCCTGTGGGTTAGGGGGGAATGCTGTCCTTGGGAAGCCCTAAAAAGGTGATATTCATGTATAACCTGACTCCATATTCTTAATTTGTTGGTGTGGGTTGATTTTATTGTGTGGCTTGATTTCGTAGGAAAGCGAAGATGCAGTGGTGAGATGGACTTAGCTGGCCTTTCCGCCCCTGAAATGAGATGGTTCTGTATGAACTTGGGCTCCCTGGTGTATCTATGTAGTGTGTTATACTGCTATACTATATACACATACCCTTTGTGGTATATTCCAAAAATGATTCAGTCAAACAAGGAGGCCACTTGGCATCTCATATGCTTGAAGACCACGCACCAAGCTGTATGCATGCAGCTGCTCACAACATGGATCCTATCGCTCACCACGGTGGATTTCACCACCCCATCGCAATCCACAACAACTGTGGTTAGTGAGGTGGAATCGGCAGATTGGTGTGGTGTGAGGAGTTAGGCAGGAGAGTCTTGTCGCCAAGGCCCACCTGCAACCATTCTCGGTTTTCAAGCAGACATGGCAGGGTCACTTGTTCCAGATGACTGGCCCTCTGGCTTAGAGCAGGGGGTTCCCAAACACTAGCCCATGGGCCGCTGCTTCATTCAGGTAGTTCAGTCTGTCTGTTAATTTGTGGCTGAAGTCAAGAGATGGCACATCCATCGTATTAAATATATTGATTTGTAATTGTATATTTTTTGCTGCTTTTATTCCTTATGCTGTTTTATGACAAATGCATGTTATACAATAAAATGAAACCTGTAAGATATGAAAGGAATAAAAAGACCGCGTTGAAAGGACTGCATCTAGCACTGCACATTGCAGTTACTACAACAGGTGTAAAAATCTGCCAAGACCTGCAGCAATTTGCAAGTGGTCCATGGTGGTGGTGGTGGTGGGAGTTCTTGTACCGCTGGCTTAAAGCCCATAGTGCAGATGAGAATACCGGTACCTTTATTACTGCGCCCACTGATACAAGTATGCCAACTCTGCCCTTGTTACTTCCATTTTCTCTCAGGATTTGAATTCCCATTTTAAAAAATCCCGTGAGTTAACATCTCCTCTTACCTGACTACATTCCTGGAGATTTATCCTTTCTCCTTCACATGAAAGTGAAAGATCTCTCTACCTCATGTCAGTAAAAGCCAAGTTGGTAACAGAATGACACTCATCACTTCATTCTCTTCCCCACCTTAAA